TGTGCAAGCGAGGAATCTTCACCAAGGAACAGCGGCGAATGGTGACCACCAGGCGCAATCGCGAATTGGCCCTCGGTGTCCTTGATCGAGATCTTGGCGGTGTGCATGAGTGGCATGAGATTGGCAAACCAGCACAGGGTGGCCGAGGGCGGGATCGGCTGCGGGTACATGAGCGGCGAGCAGGGCATGGCGAGTGCCCAAGCTGCGAGACCAAGGCAAACGCGAGCGGGCGTACCGTTGGGGCCGGCGTCGTTGAGCATGACCGCAAGCTCCGTGACATGGTGGCGCAAGATCAGGTTGGCGAGCGAGTCGAGGTCGTGGATCGCCGGGTGATGGATCAGAGCCGACGACGTGGTGCGGTCGATGCCCAGCTTGTGCCGAATTAACGACCGAAACTTGGCGTCCCACTTGTCAATCACGCTGGGCGGCGGGACGCAGTTGCTCGTGCGGTACAATGCCGCCGGGAAAATGACATTATTAGCAAAGTACACAGCCATCTTGCCCGTAATCGCCTTGGTCTTGAGTAGCCCGAGACCCTTGGCCAGCTCTGCCTCAAATGCGTTGCGCGCCGTCCGTGGCCAGTCCTTGGCTGACAGCCAGACACCGAGGTACCTGAATGGCCGTTGCTCGTCCAGAAACGGGATTGCCTCACCGCCAACTGTGAGCGGCTCACCTCGCCTCTCGGCGTCGCAGTTGAGCACGAGCATGGCGCCTTTGGACGCATTTGCCTTGACCGCCGTGACCCGGTTGAATGACGACACGATCGCAACCAAACGCTCCATCTCAGCACGGTTCGGCGCGAAGAATGCCGCGTCATCGACGAACGCCATGGCCGCCAGCTTGGCCGTGTCCACTACTTCCCCGCGCGCTGTGTACGGGGTCATGTACGACGGGGCCGGCTCTGGATTGCCGAACTCGCCTTTCCGCGCGCAAAGTGTCACCCCTGGGCACTCGCGGTTGATGCGGGCAAGCAGCACGTCGTAAAAAATGATCCACATGAGGGGCGACTCGACGGCGCCCTGGGGGATACCACGGTGCATGCGGATTGGGTCAGTCGGGCCGTACTCAGTCGCGACGCGGGCGGTGCGGCCGGTGAGCATTGAGTCGCAGTACAATTTGACAAACGCGGCTGGGATCTTGAGGCGCTTGAGGGCGAGGCGCAGGATGTGGTGTGGGACCGTGTCAAACGCCTTGGACTTGTCCTCAAAGTACACCCAAAGTTGCTGTTTCCGGGCGCGGGCTTGTGACATGGCAGCGGCAAGTGTTGCAATTGGGAGTGTGGTGCTGGTGCCGGGCAGGACGCTGTGACGGGCGCCGAGGAGGACGTTGTGGTCAGTGAGCACTTTGCACATGCGGGTATTCAACACTTTCATGAACAGCTTGCTGGCGCACTCCAGAAGCGTGATCGGGCGCATCCCGTTGGCAGACCCTGCGTAACCCACAGGCGACTTGGGTACGAGCACCATCAGCCCCTCCTTCCAGGCTTGCGGCACCCTCCTCAGGCGGAGGATAGCGTTGAAGATGTCCAAGAGGGCCCGGCGGCAGCTGTCGCCAGCATCGCGCAGTAAGCGGTACGTGATGTTGGACGGGCCGGGTGCCTTGTCTATCCCCACAGCACGGTAGGCCGCGTCTACGTCTGCAGTTGTCATTGGGTCGGGCAAGCCAGCCCACATGCCACCATCCAAGTCATCGCGCCCGTCAAACTCTGTCTCCCAATCGTCAAGAGGGTCGTACTCCTGTTGGTCGAACCATTGGGCCACCTCGGCGGCGATGCCGTCTTTGACGTCCTGCGGCTCGCGCGTGATGCGCTTGCCATTGTCGCCGTCGTCACGCAGGTGGAACGCAATGTTGCTGTCGGGGCGGCCCCGCTCGGTGACTCGGTTGACCACCGAGGGCAGGTTGTTCAAGAAGTCCTCGTTGCGCTGGTCGATACGTGCCGTGATCATGGCTGCGCGGTGCACGTCAAGGTGCTCGGCGTGGGCGACTCGCAGGAAGTACAGGGCTGCACGTGCAAACGACCGGTCGCAGTTGAAGAATGCCCGCGGTCGGCACCCGTGAGTTTCGGCGAGCTGTGCGGCAGTCGCAGGCGGCGGGCCACGGCGGCGGCGCTTGGACCATTGGCGGATGGATGCGATGGCCTTGGTGAGTGGGTCCGTGGCGCGTGGGTCGGCGAGGAGCTGTGAAAAACGCATCTTGACGGGGAGAGCATCTTTTGCAGACATTTGGAGTGTGTTTGCATAGGAGGCCCACGCACCGTCAATGTTACCAGCAGCAAGACAGGCTCCAACGTCGGCACCGAGTCGTGTGTCGGATGAGCGGCGGTATGCTTTCCATTGGTCAGCATTTGCGGCGGCAGTGTTGATGTGCTGGACTTGAGCTTGCTGTAATGCCGCTGCGACTCAGTGCCACTGGGCCCAATCGAGCTGCTGGCCAAAATCCGTGCTGATGGTCACTGCTGAATGGTCGGTCCCGTGGCGCGCTGGGAGGTTTGGGGCAGTCACGGCGGCGCGAGTTGTAGCAGCGAGCGTTTCCCCGCACCCGAACCAGAGATCAAGGCGGTTCGCGCCACGTGTGCCGGTGAGGCAACCGTGCGCTGCGGCAAGGTCCGCGGCACCGATCTCGAGTGTAACCATGTCGATGAGTGTGGTCGCGCCTGGGGCGTTTGGGTTGAGATCGCCACCTAGCAAGATGCGGTAGCCCTTGCTGCGCGCATCGTTGAGTTCTCGTCGGAGCCAGGTTGTGAGCTTGGCATTGGTGGGGCCGTCGTGTGGGACGTACACGCCAAATACGGCGACGGCGGAGAGTCCAATGAGGTTGACGTCGATGCGAATGGCATGTCCGGCGAAGCGCGAGGTAAAGCCGATGTGTGGGTGCAAGTCGCGGCGGTACAACAGGGCCACTCCTGAGCCCTGCGGGCGTTCGCTGTCGTGCGTCCATGCTGCCCTCCATTCATCAGAAAGGGCATAGTCCATCCGCGACTGGACACGTTTCGTCTCTGCAAGCTTCGTTTCCGTTAGTACAACAAAATCGGCTTCAAGCAATGCCATGAACGCCATCACTGAGATCATTTTGGTGGTATCACTAATGCCGCGCACGTTGAGGGTGGAGAATGTGATGTTGGGGCTGGCATCAGTTGGGGGCATCATGCGCATTCGTGCGGGGTCGGTCGCGCCTCTCCTATTCATTGACGCGAGGAGGGGGAGGCGGCGGGGGCACTGGTTGTACCAGCAGTAGGGGCAAGGGCGGCGGTCCGCGTGCGGGTGGTGCGCAGGGGTATGGTGGCGGGAGCTGTGGGGGCGGTGCGCGGTTGCTGGGCGCTCTGCTTATCAGCCACGATGCTGGAGACGTCGCCGGCGGAGCGCTTGGTGCCCTGGTTGAGTGGAGCATGCCGGGTGGTGGTGGTCGTGGGCGGCGTTGTGGCAGTGTCTGTGGTGGCAGTTTCCATGAAGGATGTGTTGGCCTGCGTGTCATCATCATCGGAGGGCAAGTCCATGATGTTCACGCCGACGAGCCCAGGACCGCCCTGAGGGCGGGCGAGCTTGGCACGCAGCTCCGCAATCTCGGCATCCTTCGCCTCAACCGCCATGCGCAGCTCAGCAACTTCGGCATCCTTTTCGCGCACCTCGGTGCGCAGCTCGTTGACTTCGGCACGGTATTGACGCACCTCATTCAAAACCTCGCTCAACCTTGCGTCCCCTTCCGGCTCCGGCGCCCGCAACAGCATCCCGCGCTCCATCAACATGGACACCAGCTTTGTCACCGCTGCATCCAGCGTCTCCGAGGCGGCCTGCTGCTGGCGCTGCGCGCCATTCCCTGCATTCCGGCGGTTGCCACCGGCAGCATCCACGAATGACATCCCTTCCTGTACGCGGCCATCTCCTGCCATCCTCCTTTGCGTATCTGCCTTCTTCGGCGCCGCCACTGGGCGCGGGCGGTGTTTGATGCCAGTGCACTTGGCAACGACATGGTCTGTCTCGCCGCAGGCGTAGCAGGCGCGGCCGTTAATGGGTGCCCATTTGGCGTCCTTGAGCTTGCCGCTGAAGCGTAAGGCTAGCGCTTCCTCAAGCGCGTCCGGCGAATCGAAAATCACTGCGGCCGCACGTACCAGGCGCTGCTCGGGGCCGCGTCGCATGACTTGGACAGACGTGGGGGTGGGGCATTCGAAGCGGGCAAGCTCGTTGAATAGACTGAGGTCAGTCGAGCCCGCGGGGAGGTTGTAGAGCCCGATGGTGGCCTTGCGCTCCTTTTCGTAGTCGGGGCTGTTACCGTCGAGGTGCACCTTGAGCATGGTGCCCATGACGAAGAAGTGCCCCCGGCGGATGACGTTGTTGATTTCGGGGCAGCAGCGCACACGGAACACGATCGTGCTGCGGTACGTACCACGGAGGCGGGTGGAACCTTCGAGCAGTTCCTCAACCGGTTTACCCACCTGGGCAGCGAGTTGGCTGCCCACGGCCGTGATGGACATATTCTTGGTCACGTTCTTGACAAAGATGTCCACGAGAGGCGAGTCTTGGTTGGCTGACTTCGGCGCGTAGTCCTTGAAAGGCACCGTTTTGGCGCCGTCCTTTCCGTGAAACTGCAGCCCTTCCCCCACCAGCTTTTCCCACACGCTCTTGACTGGCGTGCGCAGGACAACGACTTTGGGGTTGCCCTTCTTGATGGCGAACGTGGCGTCCGCCAAGCCATACATGACCTGCTGCATCATGGTCTTCGTGGCATTGCCACCAGGGAAGGCATCCGCGCGGGCGTATGCTTCGTACAAGTCGATGGACTTGGTCGGCGCCAAGGTGCGGATCGGGCGCCCTTGTTCTTGTTGTTCGTCCTGCCGATCGACGTTCATTTGATCGTCATCGGCGGCGGGCCCAGCCCCAGCGGGAGCGCCAGGGGGGGCAGTGGTCGACATGGGGTGATTTTAGGTGCGTTTAAAAGCTGGCGAGCTGGCGAATCCAATGCAGGGAGTGATTTTAACGGCGGCGTGGCTTAGCAGGGCGGCGTTTTTTGTCGTGGCCCAGTGGTTAAGGCGCCGGGCGTCCACTGTGGAGGTCGTGGGTTCAAAACCCACAGGTGGCGATTCTGGTATAGTGTTTCTATAGTCCTTGCCACTCGCTTGTGTGTGGATTTGGTTTGGTTGCCAAGCACAAGTTAAAATTCAAGTTGTTTCAGGTCCAAGCCGTCCGGGGTGGATCCCGCCTGCTCAACTTCAATCTGAGCCCCCTCTCGGCAAGCACTGCGTGTCCCTCTGTGTTCCCGCCTGTGTTAAGTACAAGACCCAAGTCCAAGTCCCTCCAAGCTTCAAGTTTGTGTTGTGTATTTGTTCATGGATTGTCACCATATGTACAATTGTCCTGAGGTAAAATTTTAAAAAAAATTGTCTGTTGAGGAACATGATGCGCTCGACTGAGTGGTGCGGTCAATTGGTACGGAATCCTCACATGACGACCTGGTGCATGAAAAAAAAACAACTGCTTGAGATTGTGGCAACGGAGTCGGCACAGGCAAGAAGGGAGCAAATCGACGCTGCAGTGGCCTTGCGGATGGAAGAGTTTGGCATCGAGACTGGAGTGGTCATGCGATTGGTCATGGAGCAAAACTGACCACCCAACTGCCTGGACTGGTTGGTAACTGCAGACGGCATCAAGTTACTTCCGAGCGCGGTCATGGATGCGACAGCCACCCACTGGCAAGGTTGCTTTGGACATCAGGAACACGCGAACATGGATCAGGAAGGCGCTCAGCAGCGCCATTGGCTTTTGCATAGTAAGCCGTGATCTTGCGATGCACAAAACCGGTTTGGACGACAAGTGGGCAATGACCAAGTTGTCAAACTCCCCACCATTGTCAGACTGAATGATGGTGGGAATCCCAAAGTCACAGCAGAGCTTGTACAAGTGGTCGCCGACCTCCTCGGCGCGCTTGGACTTGAGCGGGTACAGCCACGCAAAACGGGTGGCAATGTCAATGACGAGCAAAGCGTAGTTGAAACTGTCTGGGGTCATGTTGCACGTGAAAAGGTTGATTGCAAGATGGTCCATAGGCAGCGCGGCATGAATCATTTTCGGCGGATGGTAGGCGCGGGTCCGGATCATGTGTCGCTGGCAGTCGACACACTGCTGGGCAAAGCTGCGGCAGTCACAGAGCATGTTCGGCCAATACTTGCCGTCATGAATGAGCCAAGACTTGAGTGCAAGACCCGATGCATGACCGTGAGCATGAGCAGCCACGAGGGCAGCTTGGCACTCCTCGACCGGGGTGATCGGTCCGTCATGTCGCCCATCAAGCACATCGGTGAGCTGCGCTTGTTGGTCTGCGTCGACAGCAGCCAGGACGAGATTGGCGTACTCGTTGCAAAATGCAGGGCGAATGGGTCTGAGCTTGATGGGCAGCGATTCGTGCGCGAATGCCTCCTTGGCAAGAATGTCGCCCAAGAGACCAGATGCTCCTTTGGACCAGTTGAGTGGCTCGACAATCTCGGCAGCGAGCGAGTAATCTGCCTTGCTTCCACGCGCTTTGCGCATCCAACATGGTGTCCATTGCTGTCGCCTCCCGACAAGTCTCCTTGGGCGACTTGTTGTCCCAAATGATCGACTCCGCCAGCAGGGTGGCCTCTTGGTCGACTTGCATGTTGACAGGCTCCAAACCCTCTTGCTCCTTGTTGTCAATCTCCATGAAATCCTTGTTGACCTCCTTGGCAATGGCCGAAACAAACTCTTGAACCTGCTCGTCTAGCGATTGTGCCTGAGCCCCACCCCCTCCCGAGCTTGCGTCCACCCGAATCAGAGACGAGTGAATGTCGAAACGGGTCTTGAAGTCGCTGTACGCGGCCACGCCGTCCGTGGGTACTGGATAAAGGCGCGATAAGCAATCGGCCAGGACATTGAGGATGCCAGGGATGTGCACGACATCAAACGGCAACTCGAGCAACTTGTCGAGCCAGTTTCGAGCATGGGCGTGAGCTTGGGCTGCGAAAAAATGTGTTGGAGCGCCTCGTGGTCTGTGAAAAGGGTGAACCGGCGGCCCAAAACAAAGTAACGGAACGTATCAAGCGCGAAGATGATGGCACGGAGCTCCTTGCGGGTGGCAGAGTAGTTGCGCTCCGACTTGGAGAGGGCCCTCAAGGCGGATCGACCGTTGAAGCGAAGGAGCATATCGACAATGCCTTGGGCATGGCGACAGGCCGCTGATCCCACGGATGGCCATGGGCTCGGGCGGCGGTCGAACGTAGTCGTGGAAATGGTTGGCATATTGCTTTGGGAGTATATTGCGGTCACTGCCTGTGTCCAAGCGACATGTGAGTGTGGTCGGGGTGAGTGCCTTGAATTGTAAACGGCCAGTCGACGCGTGGAGCTGATCATGCAGCTCAGAGTCAGGTGGACAGTTGAGGCGCGGGCCTGGACGGCGGACTGCAATCACTGGCGACAGCTCGGCATTCACCTCAATTCGCTTTGGTGAAGCAGAACGAGTATCATGGGCAACAATTGGTGCATTATCTTGCAACAACACGTTCACAGGCGGATCAGCAGCCGAGGGCTTGTGCTGGTCAGCCGGCGGATTGCCTGATACCACTGCACAAATGTCCTGCGACTCAACCAATTGGTCCTTGAGCTCGTCATGGTTTGCTGGCAGCTTGCCCGATTTTTTTTTTTTGGCTACACTACTGCATGTATTGTGGGCTACAACCAACTCACAAACTTCAAAAAAAAAGGAGGAAGCAAGAAGGAAGAGACCAGAACACAACTGCTACAAAATGAGCATCACAAGCAAGCAAGAGGGGAGGGCAGGCAAGTGGCAGTAGGGGCCGCAAGCGACCGTGGGGATGAGGCGGGGAAGGAAAGTGAGGAGTAGGCGGGGAGGAGAAAGCAAAACAACTACGACTTGTTGGGGAAGGGGCCGGGGTACGCAATGGAACCCTGCGCCTTTGCCTGGTGGGCCCAACTCTTCTCCCGCGCAGCCGCCAAGCGTTCCTCAAAGTCGTCGTACAAGCGAAGCTCGTCCAAAGCGACCTTGAGATCCACCTCGACGATGGCAAGGTCACGGTTGACCCGCATGTACCGCTCAGAGGTCTTGGCCCGGTGGGCCGTCAGCTCGGCCACATCCTCCATTGTTGTCTCCAACGCTGGCTTGATGGCCTCAGACATGAGCTCAAACTTTTTCGTGAGAGTCTCAAAGCCCGCCAAGAGCCCCTCCACCGAACCAGCAAGGGACCCCAAACGTTCCTCAATCCCCTCAACCTCCTCTTTGGTTGCCGACAACCTCTTCTCGAGACCATCGACCCGGGCAACGACCTGCTTGGACACGTCCGACTTGAACGCCATTAGCAGGGCCTCTTGGTCGGCCATGAACTTGGCCATTTGTCCGTGCATGGCCATGATCTTGTCGGCCAAGTCATCAATCTTGCCACGCAAATCCTTGTCAAGGGTGTCGACCTTGTCGACAGCTTGCTTGGCGACATCAGCATAGCTGAAGCCACCACGTGTTGGCGCCGAGGCGCAAGAGCGAGACGAGGGAGGCAAGACCTTGGCCATGGCGGACCGCGATGGGCAGGCCAGCTTGACATGGCCGCGCTCGCCACAGGAGTAGCAGAGCTTGGCCGAACCGGGGAAGAAACGCAACTCGTGCCCATTGGAGGCAAGCTCGCCCAGGGCAACTGCATCCATGGCATCTTGTTTGGTCTCGTAGCGCCAAATGACACGCGAGAACGACCGAGCACGACTGTTGTCAACCAAGAGCGCTTGGCCCTTGGCAACCAGGGAACCGAGTTGGCGCACGGCACTGTAGCCGCACAAGACTTGTACGAGCACGTCCTTGTCGGTGAGCTTGCTGGCCCAGTCTTGCACATCGCCAACAACATGCAGGAACTGGCCGCGGAAAAAGCGAGGGGACTGGTCAATGGCGGATGCCACGTCTTGTTGATTGCCAAAGATGGCCTTGTAGAAGCGAGATCCGTTGACAAGCTGCTCACCGGCAATGGCGGTCGACTTGTACTTGCGCTTGAGGTGCTCAAGGGCGGCATCTTGATTGACAGAGTGTGGGATGGGCCCTACCCAAGCCATGAACGGCGACGCCGGGGCGTCAACATCCATGGCGTTGGACATGGCGATCGTATTGTGTACACGGATAGGGGTTGCGGGGGGCTTGCCGAGTTGATTGCTTAAAGTTAAATGTCTTGGCTATGCATAGAGTTGCGCTTGGCAGCTTGCCCGATACCACTCGACAAAAACTCTGTGCGTTGCAAGAGTGCCAACAGGGGACGTCAGCTTTTGTCCGTATGACAATTGCGGGTGCAATGGTGTTGCACGTACATTCTTCAATTGCATCATGCATGGTCTCGTCGGCGGTGGCAACCGAATTGGACGTGCCAGCCAAGACTTGGTCGAATTCCGTTCCACGCTGCTCTTCACCATCATTCAAGGATGACAGATCAGGCAAGGGTGAGGTTTGACCAGCCCTGACCGGGTTCCTGTTGCCAACAGCCTCCTCCAAAGCACTCTGCACCGGCAACTCGTCTCCCCCCTCACAAACCCAAACAATGCACCAGCCAACAGAGACTGCGTTCCTCTTGATCCTGGCCAATACCTCAGTATCCAAATGATCCGAGAAACCTCGCGCAAACGAGGGGGACAAGTGTGCCCACAAGCAAAGGAACGCACCAGCCACCGTGGCCATTCGTACACCCTCAAAATCCTGATCGCTTGCCACGGCGTCCATGAATGCCTTGATATGGCGCATGTACTCGAGCGGCTCGGACAGCTCGGCCTTCTCAAACTTGGCCATGAGGCCATTGAGGAATGCGGCGCTGGTGCCCTCGTCGATGATCTTGGCCAATAAGCCAAAGCCGTGCTTGTTTTCGGGCAAGGCCAAACGAGCGTCGCCAAACACTCGGCCAAACTTGTTGTAGGCCGTGATCTTGTTACACTTGACAGTCGGATGGTTGGGAATTTCCAACAAGTCTAGATCCGAGGCCATGGAGCAGGCAGCACAATCATGCTCGATGAAACGAATGCGCATTTGCTGGGGCCAGTGGTTTTGGCATAGTGGCAACACTCCCGCCTTGCAAGGCGAAGGTTGTGGGT